CGCTGTTAGAGAAAAGAAGTTTCCTACTTTGCTTTCCCAGATATTCCTGCAGCAGTTTGTGTTAGCTTCTTGGCCCACACTGAGTTGTCAGCACCTTGCGTTTTATGCTTTTCTTCCCTCGTTCCTTCAGAAATTTGTATGCATGCAATTTTAGAGAAGCAGTCTCCTCTGGTGAAGTTCTGGGGGGCATATTCTTCAGAGGTATAATCGTTTCTGTCAGGGATCCTGGCGAGAATATAAATCCGAAGAAGAGTGGAGTGGGCCAGCTAGCAGGGCACATCGTGTGCATCTCTTCAGCCGCTGCAGTGATTATTCTGTCCGCATCTGTAATTCATAGGGTAATGGAAACCAACAAAAAATAATAAGCGAGGAGAAGCAATTAAAACTAACAAAGATGAGCAGATGAAGTTGGGAAATTCTCAGCTTTCATAGCGCTTTGAATGTGACTGTTTAGAAAGCAGGAAGTGATAAAAGATTGTATGATGTTTTGGTGTTTTGGGAGCCACAGATCGTGCCCAGTGACTGCTTTCATTTGTGGTGTGCTAAATGAGCCTTGGTCCACGACACCGTTAGCAGCAATGCGGGGCTTCAGGTGGCCAATGGAAACTCTCCTGTGAGAACCAGTTAACCGTGGCAGAAAGGAGTAAGGGCTTTTGTTTTTATTTCCAGTATGAAGTGAAAGCTCCTGTTCCTTCAGCGTGCTTCAGGAATATCTGCAAGCAAATGGCAAAGATGCACGAAGCTATATATGATCTCCTTCCCGAGGAACAAACTCAGGTGAATGTTATTTTTGGGATTCATGTAACACCTCCTTTGCAAAGGCACACTCACTGTGTAACAGAGAGACTTCTGCTTTATCTGTGAACGGGGGGGAAATACCAGGTTTTTGCAAAACCCACACATGAGAGGGGTTGGCAGCAGTCACGTAGACAGCTTGGTCTGAACCGAAATACACATTTGAATGTGCAGCAAGAACAATGAGACACACAAAATTAACTGGTTCCAGCATTTGGAGCTGCGGTTTCATGTCTAGAGAGGTGGATCTTCAATTCAGACATTAGTGCTGAAATGCTATGCAAATGGCAGCACTTCAGGGCTCAAAGACAGCCCTTTGGGGGAATTCTTCTGTAACACTGCTCAAACACAGTGGGTTCTGAAGGTCCCTAAACATATTTTGTGGCCAAATTGTACCAGATAGGCTTTTTTAGTATTTTGCTGCAGAGCTGTAAATCTAAGGGTAGGAAGGGCCGATAGTCACTGAATGTGCTGAGCTGTAGGTTCTCTTTTTACACTAAATTAAATGTTCCCTTCAAACTGTTGGTTTTTTTTTTTTTGACTTCCTCATGGAAAAAAGACTGTAAGTGGTAGTAGTTCAGAAAAAAGATACGTTGTGTTCTAGCCTGAATATAAGTTGCCAGATGATCCAGAGGAACAGGGAAGAAAAAGATCATGTTTAAAAGAGTGTATCTCTAGGTGCAACATGTAACAGATAAGGCCTGTGTATACTGTCCTGTAGGTGATGTATTGAGGCAGAAGGGAAAATCACATGAATTGCATGAATAAAACAGAAGGTCAGTGTGATTTTAGATATTTGCAAGGTATTTCTTCTCTGTAGGCAATGATGCAAGCATGGAGACGGTTCCTTATCCTGATTCTTTGGTTTCTTCCAGATGTTGTTTTTAAGAATTAACGCAAGCTACAAACTTCATCTGAAGAGGCAGCTGGCCCACCTAAACGTAGTCAATGACGGAGGACCTCAGAATGGGTGAGTTTGAGCACTTCTTTTACCGCTTAATTTAAATGGGTGGACATTGTCCTCTGTAAGAAGTTTGGAAAGCAGAATGCAGCCACACTCCCATATTTTTTAAGGATTTGTTTGGAGCCTTCTTACAATAAGGGACATCACCATCGGAATGCAATCAGCTTGCTAATAGGTTGGGGAGTTGGGCATTGTCTTACTGGAGGTCTGCTGTGAGAGTTGTGTAGGGCTCCTCAGTTTGTGAATTGCTTTTTCCCCTTCGGTGTGACAGCAGCAGCCACATTTTAACTTGCAAGAATTGAGTGATCCTGGAAGCAGTGTTAAAATGAGGATGATGACTCATGGTGCTAGCAGAGTAAAATAAGAAAAAGTGGCATTTCATCTGTGCGTCGGGTAGCTTCTACACAGCAATTGTTTTTGTGGCAGAAATAGAGATTTGAACTGAGATAAGCTCTGCGAGCACGTTGCCCTTTCCTGTCCCAGTATAATCTTCTCTCGCCACAACTGGTCAGCAGCACTTCTCAGGGGTGCGTGCCTGATGCTGCCTGGTCACCTCAGGAGGAAGCGTGCAGCCTCTTGTGGCTCAGTCTCTATTTTAAGGCAGATTGTGCCCTGAAACAAAAGACTGCTTAATGACCCTTATTTATGGCGTAGCAAGGGTGGAATTCAGTCCGCCTAGCCACCTGCAAGAAAGCCTTGTCTTAGGTTGAAGAAGCCAGAGAAGGAGGTTTTATAAATGCTCTTAAATGTTGCTGGAAAGAAGAATTTTGTTCCTGTCCCAATTTATTCTTTCTTGTCCTGCTTAAGCTTATTCATCCTTGTCTTCTATGTGAGTCTCTGTGAAATGCTGTTCTGTACTCGTGGTGTAGTTACAGATAACAGAGATGTAAGCCAGCAAGTTTACTGCATAGAGCGAGGCTGCACAGCCCAAACTCAAGCACCCAGGGTGCTGTGTGGAGTGTTTGATCTTGGGCTTCTTGCATAATCCTGAGCTGTGCTGCTGCTTTTGGTTTTGGTCGATGCCTGTAGTTGGAGGGCCTAGAAGGATCCCTTTAGCGGCCCTGTGTTTCCCAGCAGGGTCATCCTCCCTGTCAGAAGGGTCCCTCACCTCCAGCTGGAAGCAGTGATGCCCCCCAAGCCTGCTTCTTTTGTGGCAGCAGTTGCTTCCTTTAGAGCACGCATCTCTCCAAAAATGTAGCTGGGGCATTTTGAGAAGGAAAATATCAAACACTGCATTTCACTTGATGCTGTTCCTGCAGTCTTTACTGACCTACTTTTTAGCACGGTTTTCTGTTTCTCATCCCATTGTAACCTGCTTGTTTCTGTAACAATAGTAAAAATCCAAATCTGTGAATCTTGGTTATCTTTCAACTGTGATAATACAGCTTTCAGTCCTACATCTTGCTGTTTCCTAACCAGAAACACTGTGGTCATGTTTGTGTGATCCCACGATGTGTTTCAACAGTGTGATGGATTTTAACTCTGGATGTAAGTGTTGTAAACACTCAGTATAGCTGTTTGGTTGTTGTTTTTCTATTATTTTCTAAAATTATTATTATTTTCTAATATTATGAATATTTTCCTGTATTCAGAATACAGAAGCTAATATTGCAATAATTAGTGTTCTAAACTGTGATGGAATCAGAATTTTAAGTCAAGATAAGCCTGGGATTACAGCAAGAGGATAGAAGTTTTGGGTGCCTAATTCCTGCTGAATTTTCATCTCCCTTCTCCAAAAACTGGTTTTACATCTAGCAGGAATCCCAGGTTGTGTACTATCACCATTGTAAGAAAAACTTCCATCGCATTGAGTTTTGGGCTGATGTTTATTATACCTAAGCTGGTCATAGTATTTGAGCATGCATCACAGTAATTGTTTGATTCATAACTAACCTCTGGTGGCTTTCTCTAAATATTTGAGCTAGATTTGATGCTTTCAGATGCTAATCTTATCCTGTGTTTCAATGCAGACTGGTTACGTCAGATGTAGCTTTTTACACTGGAAACCTTCAAGCGCTGAAAGGCCTTAACAACTTAGACCTGAACATGGCTGAAATTTGGGAGCAGAAGAGGTGATAATCCACTGGGAGCAGTCACTTGGCTCTGACAACAGACCGACTTTCTTCTACGAAGCGTGACGACTGTGAGGTGAATACTTAAGAACAGAGTCCAAGAAAGGACACTATTGATAGTCGGGGAAACTAGACTCAGAGTGAGCTGCAGGGAGTGATCTTTTCAGTGTCCTTCAGCAAGAAACAAGTGATCAGCTGTCTGTGCAATGTTTTTCATTCTCTCTGGAAACAGACTCAGGTTTCTTTGGACCAAATCCAAAAGAACACATAGCTGTAACACAGCTGTAGTTGTCTAGAATGCTCTGTATATCTTTATATTAAAAAGATGCTTTGCATTTCTTCTAGTGCAATGAAATTCACATGGTGTCCCACCTTATTTAATGATGGTACAATATAAGAATCTTGCAGTTGGAACTCTGTAGAAAATGTTTTTCTCTATGAAACTATGCTGTTCTAAAATTTATTTTTTTACAGAACTTTATATAAATAAATGTCTTTTGATTGCTTGCATATAGGATTCAGATTTGTTAGGAAGCAGTCCTGTTTCAGGGTATTTCTCACAGCTGGGCTCTAAACTGCCACCTGAAGATACGATTTTCTAATAAACTGCCTGTTCACTGAAGCCATTACTAGAGGATAGAGTTGTGAACTCGTAATCATTAGCAATGACAAAATAACAGCGGGCTTCTCGTGGAACCTGAAGGTAGTAAAAAGGTTGGTGTGCAGATGGCTTCCTGCAGCTACCCCACCGCCGACTAGGCATTGCCACTTACACCAGGGTAAGTACTGTGCTGAGTTGTTTGGTTTTTCACTAAATAGAGACAAAATAGGACACAGAAAATGGGCCAGGAGGCGTTTTAAAGTTTTTAGGCTGCTTATAAAGGGTTGTACTGTTAAAGAAGGTGCAACTGAAATTAATTTAAGAGTTTTTTTTTTTAAATACTACCTTTTAAGACTGGATGCTGCCAGTACTAAGTAAAAGTGCCTGTGTATTTCACCTCACACCTCTTTACCTAAGCATAGTCTGAGTGCCTAACCCTGTGCTGATTATATATGATGGAATGGTCTCCAGTGTGTGCGCGCCTATGGTTTCTTCAGACAGGCATGCTTATCTGTTAGCATAACAGATGTCATTAATTGTCAGTCAAAATAAAGCTATAAAATCAGAGTTGTTTTTAAAGACCAACTTCTTTAATGATACATACCAGTGTTATACTAAGCTTATCAAATAAATTGTCTGCATGTAAATACAAGAGAAACATATTAAGAAATCAATAGTGATCAGGACAGGGATTTCAATTCCTGTACAAATCTAGAAATGAGTCAAGAGCAGATAAATTAACATGTGGCTGTGGCAGTATGAACATGGACAGAGTCAACGTGATGTAATCCATTTATTGAAAGAGGGCAGATCAAGGATAAAGGTACTAATGGGTGATCCAGTCTTAAATGGGATGTGAAAAGCAAACACCACGTTTGGATACTGAGGCATTTTTCTCAAGTATTAGATTCTTTGGGTGAGTTGGGAACATCAGCGACGCCCACACTCTCACAATACAGAAACGGAGGCATTGACAGCCTTACCCCAGCATTGTGACGTACAGTATAATCGTGATAGGAATCCCACCTGGCAGTTGTGGGGGCTAAAGAGGGTTATAGGTTGGGGGAGTTGTGAGCACATGAACTACAGGGTTTTGAAACAGCCCATTTAGCAGTAGTGAAACTTTGGGTTTATTTCAACTGTGCCTGCCATTTACACTTCATTTAAAAAAAAGTTGCATGAGTAGCTAACCATGTCCCACATGTATTGCTTCACAGCTTTATTTCTGCGGTTACAAGCAATTCAAAACTACTAAATGTTAGAGGCAAGCCTCTTAACTTCTTATCAAAGAAGATCTGTCCATCTTACCTCAAGACAAACAGTATTGCACTTCAAGGTTATATTAACTGAGTTACAGAATCTCTTTAAGGACTGAAACATTACTTACGCACATCCATTGCGCTATGTGTCTGCTTAAAAAGATAAGCAAGAGAAATTAATTTTAAATTAATACTGCAGGGTACTGTGAGGATGACAAAGCGTAGGCCCTCTGTGTACTTATTTCTAATGCTTAAAAGGTTCTTCTGTGACCAGGCTGGTTTAGCACAGCAGCCTACAGAACCGGCCATGCCCTTCCACCGACTCAGTGGTCCAAGATCCGAAGATTGCCTGACACGATTTTGTTCTCTAGTACAGCTCCCGCGGGGATGTCAATTCTGTCGCCATGATTTGCAATGATGATAACTGTTCCCTGGAGTCACAGAGAAGAAAGTGAGTGGTCAGGAACTTTACTGTAGGATAGCTTGTTCCAAGTCAACAGTTAGAGCAGCACTGTTGGGAGGCTGTTAACAGCCAGACCCTGCATGTGCTTCAACTGAATTACTTTTTTTTTTTTTTTTACACAGAGCTTTGAAATAAGCAATAATATTGGAATTATTGTAATTACATGAGCATACTTGATATCATCAGATTACAAGCAGGGTTGATAACTTAAAGATAGATACTTGCTTTATATGATCCTATTGTGCCTGCTTGCTTTTAGGTGCAAAGATGTTACTGCCATAGCTGGTAATGCAGCTCACCATTATGGTTATAAGGCAAGGATATGTAAGTACTTGTGGTGGTTATGGCACTGTATGGGCTGCTGCTGGGAAAGTTAACATTCCAGCCAGACCCAGTACAGTACTGTGCCACAGATCCTAAGAAAGCATCTGAAATAGAAACTAAATTGCTCAGCTCCAACATTTACTAATAAATCAAGAACCCCAAACTGATGAGAATTGGCCTATGGCTGTAAAGCCAGCCTGGGAAGCAAGGTGGTACATGCCTGGTAAATCACAAAGATGCAAGCATTGTTTTGGACACAGAGTCACCAGGTCTGTGGTGTTTTCACAGGCCTGTACTTGTAGATGAACCTCAGCCCTTGCTAGAACTGTACAGAAAAGCACCTTTTCTGGTAATGCCTTGTGCTCATTCAGAAGGGGCAATATTGGCTCAAACTTGACCACTGCAATCCTTGTTGCAGGCTCTCTTGCTGTTGTTTAATTCTTAGGAATGCTTCCAGGGGAAGGTGCTGACTTAGGATCGGTTTTCTTACAGAGTGGCAGGGATTAGTCATGTATATGCAAGAGCATCCTGCTTGCAAACTCACCTTTAATGAAACATTCTTCCCAAACGTAACATCACCTGAAACTGTGAGGTGATCCAGTTCCAGCATATCTGGAATACTTTCAAACCTCCGCAGGTAATCTTGAACCTTTTGAAGGGAAGAAAAAATACACACAGTTTTAAATCCCTTTGTAGGCTAAGACAAACACTGGAGCTTCTTTTAAAAATTCTTTTTAAAAGGTATTTCTGGACTCTATGTCTGACAAATATAAGTGTTGCTACTTCTGTCATTTATTGTCATATTGTCTGAGATGACTACAACCAAGGGACAGTAAGGGCAATATCCCATCAAAGCTGGGTGAGCACTAGAGTCCACCTGCAACCCCTTACTTTTCCTCAACTGATGGGGTGAAGGAGCACAGAACAGTACGTACGATGGGTAGAGGTAGATAAAGTAAACCTCATTTTATTTATTGCTATGGACTGTATTTTTATACCATGAGAAAATACAAGTGCAATTCTGGGAGTTTACCTTCGTGAAAGAGCTTCCCAGCTTGACAAGAGGCACTGTCGGAAATTCTCGCTTCTCGCTCATGGTTAAAGACCCAGCGTTAAGGCTGTACAAGTTCGACATCACAAGCAGGAGATCGGACGTGGTCTTAACAGGCAGAAAACGACTGCGTGGTACGTTTATCCCCAGGGAGTTCTCAAAGCTCTTAATAGCAGCACCAACTGCAGTCTCCAGCTGGATAACATTCAAACCTCCATCCAGGGTCTGGAAGAGAAAACTCACGTAAGCATGACCAGCTGGTAAAGGCACTCAGCTTTAGAGCCTAGCTTAATTCAGAGCTCCACGTGTACCAACAGACTGGCTCCTTTTTGAAGGCAGCAGTCCTTGTTTAGTTGCACAGAAACAATTATTTTTTTGAGTCTATTTCCTCTAAAATCTTCTTATCTGATTACCTTTGGGTTAACAATGATCTCCATGTCAATAGCGTTTTTCTCTTGCAGCCTTTTAATTGCAGACAGAGCAATCCACAAATTGTTCGTGTTGAATATTTTGAATTTTGACACAGACTTGAATTCATCAACGTGTGCTTTTGGGACCTGAGCTATCTCCACCAGTCTCAGCTTGTTTTCATATTGCGTAAGTGTCCCACCCTGCAGGGGTAAAAGAAGAAGTTTTAAGGTTTGTTAGTGAGCTGCCAACAGAGAAGCCACCACCCCAGCTGCATGCACTGCTTTGGTGCCATTTAAGTTGAACCTCGGTGAAAACATGTTACTTGTGTTCAGCTACTGGGTTACTAATTATAGAGCGTGTTTAAATTACAGTCAGAACTGTTAAATGATCATGTTTCAGCACTCCCAAATAGTTACTTCTGTTAATGAAAGTGCTTGAGAATCTTTGGCAAGTGCTGCTTTTGTCAAAAGTCATCTTCTAGCGCTTTGCTGGATTACAGTGCAAAATTGAAATCAAATCTATTAACTCTGCATCGTTTCTTAGACAACCTGGACTCTCCATGGGTATTTTTACAGGGCCTTTTTGTGGTGTTATAGGACTGTCACACCTTTCTTGGTATCTGACAACTAGCAGGGGGAAAACCACATTCCCTCCAGCCTCATACTTTAAAGAGCAAAGGTAAAAGTTCTGTTACATGACAAATTACTACTCACTAGGAATATTTGATACGTGCCCTAAACATCTGATAAGTTGTCAAACCTGGACTTTGTGCGATGTCAGGCAGCTGGGGCAGGAGGGGATTTGCAGCCCCAACAAGCTGCGTTGCATTATGCTCACATGTACAGCTGCAAAAGGAGCTTACACAGGTTTCAGTCAGTAGTGATACAACCCCTATATCCCAGCCATGCACTGCTTTTACCATCCTCAAACCTCTCCCACGTGCAAGTGACAGTTTGGAGAAGGTAAGGAGAGTGTGACCTACGGCCTGCAGAAATTACTTGTTGTCAGTAATCAGTCAGCTCCAGGCTGTCCTTGGCTGCTGTTGCCCAGAAGCTAGATCCCATTTGTTCCATGAATTAAAACTTCATAAACTCGCTGATTTTGTGCATCTCAAATGAGATCACAGCTGATGTGTTAAATGGTGCCTGAAATAGCTATAAGAAGATTTAATGTATGTCTGAATTCATGCATACGGAAGAGACAAGAGGCACAGATTGGCACCAACACACGGGCACTCAGACACATTGCACAACTGTTTGCATTTACCTTCACATCTGCCCTGGTCTTATTTGTGACTTCCATGACAAACTCGCAGCGTTTTCCATTGGGTGGGTTCATAAGATGGTTCAGAATGTAGAGGTCCACAGTGGCTCCCAAGTTATCTATATTGGATACAAAAATATACTCCTTCCCCTCTGCAATAAGGTTATCCAGCAGCCCAGAGTTATAGAAACTGGCGTAGATGTCTCCGTGGCCTGGGGGATACCAGCACTCCGTGTTCTCTCCTGAGTAAGATACGTCCTTGGCTATTGGCAGCAGAGTTTCCTTATTAATTCTAGGATACCTGGAAAGACACCAGATTTGTTAGGTTGTTAGCACAAAGTAAAACGAAAATGCAATAGTTTGGGTGCAGCTACCTGGGCTTTTTCATGCAGCTTTAGATGTTATGCTTGCTAGGTCACTGAGAATGTGCAGATCACAGTCTTTCATTCACGGATTTAAAACCACAGTTCTCAGACCGTGCAGTAAAACAGCATTCCTCTGACACAGGGCTCCAGAGCATGCCAAGTACACCTCCAACCCCATCAGCCACTTTAGATAAGAGGTTTCTCTCGATAAGGAAACCACGTTCTGTCTCCCTCCAGAGCCCAGGCATCTATCCTAAAAGCAAATTCAGGAACCAAGTGGCCAGCATCCAGCACTCCATTACACCCATTTCTTGAAACTGTAGCCTGTCCCCACCCCACATCTCTCTCTAATACATCGCTTTTGACTCTATTGAACCCCCTGACATTTCAGTCTTCCTTTCAAATAATGAGATTGAATGTGAGTATAGAAAATACCACTGCTACCTCAAACTAAACACCATAACTATTTGGAACATGAGAAAATGCAAGCTAGTGTTTCCTTTCACCTCAAGTAGAAAAGTTTTTTGATACCTGCTTTGATTAAAGGTATATATTTTCACACGGCTGTGACTGTATTTCTGCAGGATTTTCTTTGTGTCCTCATCGGTGTTGAAGGAATTCATAAGAACAAGAGGAACGTCGGTGTTGTAGGTTTTGTTTAAGTGCTGAGATGGGAAAGAAATGGTAAATTCAGCATGTATTTTTAGCTTTAACTCCTGACACCTAAGATTTTGGGGAAAAAGGAAATACACTTATTATTTCCAGTCTGCTTTATCTATCCATTAGATAAAAGAGAAAAAAATCTTGTACCACTAGAATACACAATAAAGCAAGTAAAAGAAAACAAATCATTGTAAGCAATGAAGTATTTAAGATAAGACCCATTACTTAACATATAATTAATCTTTGTTTTTAAATCTGCGTCAAGATTCCAAATTTAAAGAGCATGACACTGCAAAACTATTCTTTTAAATTTTAGGCTACTGTTGATTACAAAAGGCACGCTTTCCCCAAAATTATTTAAGTCTGTGAGGGGAAGGTTGCAAAAACTTCTCTGCACAGCAAGCAGTTTTGAGCCTTTTTGTCAGGCTTTGAGACAGAAAATATTATCATGACCACATAATGGATGAAATGTTGCAATGGTAATTATTTGGGCATCTATAAAACAACTAAAATACATGTGAGCACTTTCAGCACAGCAAAGGAAAAAAAGAAAACAAAACAAGTGTTTTCTACCAAAAGAACATGCAGAAAGTACACTTTAATTGAATTGAAATCTTGGTGCACCAGATCACCCTTGTCTGTTGGGGAATGTTTGGGATCATTAACCTCTGGGGGAGTCAGAATACTGCAATGACCCTTTTGGGGAAGCGCCCACAGAAGTGAAGGATTAGGACTGCATTAGTTGGACATAAATTTAAGTGGTGTGTGGGACTCTCCTGCATACATGAGACAGTTATTCCAAGCAAAATACACAATGAGGCAAAAATGGTTGGAGTTCTAAAAACTATGGAACAAGCACACTCGATTTCCTACTCTAATGGCCATCTGAAATATCTGCTGCAAGAGGAATATTCTGCAATAGAAACATAAGCTGAAACGTCCTCTCCCAGCACCAGCAGCTGTTACTTTTTCTTCCTTCTGAGGAAAATCCTAGCAATCACTTCCATGATGAGGGTTTTAATTTGAGAAGGAACTCGGAGCTGCTGTGAAGAGCTTTGTTCTGAGGCACACAAACAAAGCTACACTCAGACCTGCACCTGGAGGAGTCGGAAGCGAGCCCAGGAGTTAGCCACGCCAGGCCAGCTCCACAATTTGGTCCCTTGTGTAGCTGGACACAACCAGCCCTGTTCCGGTTGGTGCGCACAGGCTGAATTACTCTTGTGCTAACATGTGCAGAGAGGACAGAGTTCAGTTGCCGATTGCTCCGTCCCCTCTGTCCACATGTGCTGCACATCACTAGCGCCCATTCTTTCCAAAGCAATTCTCTGCTCCACCACTAGCTCTGAGAGCAGGCCCCCTTTCCCTCTTTCTTTTCGCAGGCCTCCACCGTCACCTCTCTTAAGGCTCCCACAGGAGCTCAGTGTGCCTTGCTTCATCCTGTGCAGAAAGGGAAGGCTCTACCCCAAAGTACAACTCAGATACGCAGCACACTCAGTGACCACGGCTCATACAGCGAGACTAGAATTGGACCCAAATTCCCCCTCCCCCCAAAAAGGGGAAGTGTGACCACTTCCTGGGCCGTGCGCTCACTGAGGTCAGATTTCTAGTGGAAAGTGTTTCTGTACTGGCCAGGACGTCAGCTCTAGGTGAAGGTGATTTCAGAGTAAGTCTCAAGTGCATGGCTCCCTTGAAGCATCCACAACATTCAAAGCTCATCGGAAGTTACCTCAATCTGCTGCACGGTCAGATCCAAGAAGGTGTTCTCGTTCCGCACCCCGATGAGGCTTTTGGGGCCTTTACAACCCATGCTTGTGCCCAAGCCGCCATTGAGTTTCACAACCACCAGCTTGTTCAAGACAGAAGCAATGTTATCGGGCAGCCCTCTAGCCTTTATCTTCTCATAGGGTTGGATCTGTAAGAAGCAAAATTTTCAGAAAGTCAGGTATTTGGAAGGAAAGTGCTTTCTCCTAAAAGCTTTCAAAACTTCAAACTTGGTAACCCAAACTGACATACGTGATTTAGGAAAACTACAGAACATTTGCAAAATGAGTCTACAGCAGCCCAATTTGGTGCAATACAAATAACCTGATCTATTCCCACCACAACCTATTCTCCAGAGAAGCCCTCTAGGCTCTGTGAGACCTGTCACCATCAGCTTCATCCAGGCATGTCTCAGTCTACTCCTTCCAGATACAGGGAGCTGACTCGATGGTGAAGGGGGGTTCAGAATAAGTCAGCCCAGTTACGCTGCTTAACCCAAGCTTCCTCTTGTCCTGCAGGAGGAGGGGGGGTCTCTTTGTGACTCGCCTAACTCCCTTCCCCGTAAGATGTCCTCCTTCAGTCAGGATGTGATTTAGGAGCGCAAGCTCCACACACTGGACATAACTTTTCTTCCTTGAGCAACCTGAAGTCAGGGCAGATTTTTTTGATACATTGCATTAAGGTTTCTCAGAAACACATTCTTGGCAAAAGGTTGATTCTTTGACTCAGCCTAAAGTAATATTTATTCATATTATCAGCCCAATATAATAATTCGTCACGCCGAAGAGAAGACAGGAAGGAATGCAGAAAGTTCCCAATGAAGGAATAAAGAAAGTTCCTAATTCTTATCCTCATTTTTTCAGGATGTGTTCATCAAACCTTGCAGAAAGCCTTCTACTTTGCTGATATAGCCATATCCTACAGGTTTAAGGACAGAGTATAGGATACGTTTAGGGCTAGGGATAGAGAACAAAATCAGACTTGTAATGAAAGTCAGCATGCTTTCCATTAGGCATTGCTTCTCCCATAATCCAGAGCACATAAGTCCAGGAAACAAAGGTAATAGTGCAACAATAGGTATCATGCCAGCAAAATCAATACAATCATCTTTTAGCCTGCCCATCTAGAGATTTCCTTCCGAGGAAAAGTCTTTGTGTTTCAGTGCTGCACGTATTCTAGCAGCAAGGAAGTGATTGTAATTCTGATAAGGGATTTGTAAATCGCACAGCTGATTTCCGAAAACAAACACATACCAAGTCCTTCTCAGAAGTCTGTGTCTGCTTCAGGCAAGTCAGGCCCGAATTTCCTTGGAAATTCACGGTGCACTGGAACAAGAGTCAGATTTCTTACTCGGATGTGGGGAGGTTGGGAGGAAAACTTGTGCAATTCCAGCAGGCCACAGATGGCCGATTAGAGCAGATCCCTCACATTAGGGAAATTCTGCCTCCTGCATGATCTGGAAAGCTCACGGTATATATTTAAAGATAAGATCACTCCACAAGCTGCAGCGTAATGACTAACTAAACTCTCATTACTCAAACAGTGGTAACTGGCCCGGGAGGAACATCTTGATGCAACTGCTTAAAACACATTCCACCTAGAAATGTTTCCCAATGCTCCAAAAAAGCAAGCCATTAACTGGACTTGAAAGCCCTACTCCCTCACTCAAATATTTTAGCTAATACAAAAACAGATTAAATATCTGTAAGAATAGCACCGGGTTCCTTGTTGAAACACTCTAGCTGTTGAATAGAAAACCATATGTCAATGTTGTGACTTATTTTTCTGGCTCAGTGGGCAGTGTTAGTGGAGAACAAGACGAGTTTCGATAGTTTTGTGATACACACTCATCAGAATGAATACAACTAAAAGCAAGAGGTTCGTCCAACAAGCTTACCAATTATTTTCCTTCTGTGTGGTTTTTAAAAGCCACTTTCTACACAACTACCAGGAGCTTTGCTGGTTGTTTCTGGCAGGTGCAATCCCTCTCAGCGTCTCCTAGCACAGAGAAGACACTGGGAATTCAGTACCCCCAGACCACACGCTTCCTAGAAGAGGTAACATCCAGGCTCGCTGTTGACCCTCTGGTGAGATGTAGCCAACACATGAAGGACAGGAATGTTTCCATCGACACGCTCCTTACCAAGTTCTCACATTCCAAGCAAACACGTAAATTCAGGCTTAACTGTACTTCTCCATGCCTCAAAGTGACAGAGGCTCCTATGCCAAAAACCCTTGAGACAGCCTCATGGGCAAGGCAAGGAGCCCTGTGAGTAATGCACGAACTATCCCCAGTGCTACAGTTATCACTGCCTTCTAGATAAACGTGGTTTTGCTTGGGAAAGTAAGAATGAAGAGGAAAATCACACACATTTAAGCCTCCATTTTCCAGCTAAGTCACAGCAGCAGACATGGTAGCTGGACAGGTTTTGTTTCGCTCTCCCAGCAAGCCAGCTAGAAGGCAAACAGCATTATCGTGGCTCAGGCAGCACGAAGGAACACAACCACTGCTGCAGTTGTCTGCTAATATCCACGTCCTCCTTAGCAGAAGGAATCAGCTGATTAAACAGAGCAGCTGACGTTGACGTGCTGTTTTCCAGAGTGATAACAGCAGAAATAATATGCCCTTTTGTCATGAATAAGCACACAGGTTTGTCAGAAAAATCTACACGCATCAATAAAAGACAAGGGAGGGGCGATCTGTCAGACCAGACACAAAGTCCAACGCTAACTTCAAGGCAGCCAGAACTCTGACCCCTAGCAATGTCCCTGTGGCACCACAGTCTGATTCACACACCCAAGAGAGACAGTTTTAAAACGAGGGCTCAGGGGGTCCCAGCAATTCGACGGCCAGTTTCTCATCTTGGTTCTGTATCGTAAGATCATGAAATCAAACACAGCACTTCAACAGAAATGCACATCTGAAGTAACCCCCCAGAAGACGGTACATTAAGCCAAAACGACTGCTCCGGATTTCTGCTGCCTTGAACAAAAGGATTAACAAAGGGCTCCTTCCTTGTTAACCAGCTGGCTTAAAACAGGTCTCCAAAATCCCTTACTTCAGAAGTCTGGCAGTTTTAAATACGTGGCTTAAAGTGGTAACTTCACAATTTGTTATGAATAATTTATGCCAGCTCCTTTTATAAAACCAAAAGCACAACCGAAAGGTACTTCAGTCTGACCACTTTGCTAGGGAAGCAGTAAGGCGAGTCCTTCCATTCCAGCTTTCTCACGTGAGGGTGTGACAGACTCCATTTTACACAAAAAATAAAAATAAAAACAAGATTTAGTATCTGGCAACATCAAGAAATTAAACTACCGTTCCAATCACAACCACATCTTCCCAGTTAGTCACACAGTGTCCAGTTTACGTGCCATGTGTTACTCCAAGAAGCACAGGCAGGGTAAAAGAGGCTGTTACCAGAAGGGAAATACTCACCCATTTTGGCTTGCTTTTTCCTCTCCCCAGCCCACCACACTGCCCGTGCCCTCCCCTACGTGCTAGCTAGCTGCAGCCTATTCCCACCCCAAAGCGTGGCACAGCTTGCTGCCTCCGGGTTATAAATTATGCTCAGTTGCATCATCCTGAGATGACAGAAGGTTGAAATAAGTACGGAAAGAGACAGCTGAGGTTGATAAGGGGGAGGAAGGTGGAAGATAAGGTGGCAGCTAGAAATGAATGGAGACTCAGGGCAAAAGGGCAAAAGACCCGAAATACCAGGAAATAAAGCACCGGTACACCACTGTCAGCCCCCTAAGCCTTATCAAAACATTCCCCTGCGCATTTTAAATTTACCAGCAGGATTTTGGAAGCATCCCCACAGTCCAACTTCAGCAAAGGCTTAAGAGATGGATAACCCAGGATAAGCAAAATTGGGAGCAGCCAAACGTGGCTCCAGAGCACTTCAGCTGTGGCTCAGAGCCCCGGGATGAAAGCCCCATCACGGTGCAGCCCAAACGCATGCGTGGCCTCCCCAGAAGGGAGCCTGCCCACGCCAAGCCTGCGCCGCGATACCGTGCCCTGGGGAACATTCTCTTAATGGTTTCTGTTGTTTTTTTTTTTTTTTTTTTTAAATTTGGGTTTGTGCCTGTCAAGTCAGGAGCTCGGCCATCCTGTGAGGTCTACAGAATGAGTTTGTTTGTCTGGAGGCTTAAGGAAGCGATCTGTGTTTTTAGAGGAAACTGGGAATAAGACTTTAACATATTATAACCTCCACAGGTCAACGTAGTCTCAGTGCTCCTTTAGCACAGAGGTCAATCTTTGTCTTACCATTTCCTTGTTTAAAGTGGGTTTCATTTGATTAAAAAAAAAAGAGTCCAACAGGTAAATGATCTGACTATAACTATGCTTTTTTTGTTTTTCTTTTTTATGCAGAAATTCAACCAAAGTCTAAGAAACCCATAAACTATTTCAAAAAAAAAAAAAAAAAGTCCATCTTTACTTTGTACTTTCAGTAAATAAACAAGAACACATACACTTGCATGAAACTATACTATTACACAGGGAAAGCGTCTGGGAACAAACTGGTAGCTGTCAAATTGTTTTTGCAGTAGTATGTTCTTTACTCAAAGATGCACCACACATGAGCCCTGATGTCTCCTGCTTGCTAGAAGGGTAAAGAAGGAATGGAAGCAGGCCCAAGGCGGTGATGGTTGCGCTGTTTCAACAGGGCTTTACTCTTTATTCCCTCACACTAAAAGCTGTGGGGGACAAGAGGGGAATTCAGATCCTCTGCAGTGGGTTTCTAAGGGAGACAAGCTACCAAATGAGAAACCCGACCTACCCATGTGTGGCAGGAGCCTACACTCTCCAGACATTCTCAAATATTGCCCTTTCTCCTCTGCAGGGGGAAATTGTTCTCCTTGGCCCTGAGCTGTATTCACACAACCCACGGGTTACAAAGCTACTGATACTTGTCACTTGCATCTGTCCTGGCCTCTGTCACAATTCTGCCACATGCATAAACCTCGACTGTCCAAAGAATACCAGGATGGGAAGGTTACTAAGTCGGGGCAGCCGTGGCAACCTAGACAAACATCATTTCAAAGCCACTTCCTAAATACCCACATCGAGCAGACTCGTACAGGACCATTTCAGATTGCCCACACAAGCACTTTATGTTACAGAGGAACACTACTGCCCTTCATCAGGAAACTTATGACTGGCAATATTCAGCTAAATTAAGACAGAGAAAGCTTTCAAGTCCGCAGAGTTGTTTTATTTATAACTTAGCTGAGAGGCTCATTTCTTCCAGGAAGTGAGATGAAGAAAACCAGGAGACTAATATTTGAAAAAAGAAAATAAACAGAACATGGACATACATGGCTTATCACTTACATGTGTGGTGTGTATACACACACAGGCACACTCTGAAATAGAGAAAAGTCTCTTTGAAACACTGAGATGTTTTTATAGACTAGGAAATAAGGAAAGTCAGCTCCTTAGGGTATGAGGAAGGGGGAAGAGCGATTACACGCACCGTACCTTTGCTAGTTGGGCCAAAAGGCTGGATTGTGACATCTATTTAACGGGAAGCTTGTACAACAATCTTCACAACAAAAGTGAAAACTATCACTCCTGTAATCGTGCCTCAAGGGACTGCCAGTCAGCTACAGCTGACCTGGAAATAATCACTGAGCACCACAGGTTTATGGAGCTCGTCATCTGCAACCCCACGGATTCTGCATGGCATGCGCTGCACACAGCTGAGGTAACTGACCCAGGCAAAATGCTGCGCAAGGACAGCGGCAAGAACAGCTCCAGAAATTGGTTATCAGCAAAGAGCTCTGCAACAAAAGAATGCACACACTGGAGTGGTCTTGCTTCAGCAATGCCTCGGCATCTCCGGATGTCTCTGTTGGTACAACAGCACGTTGGCACAACTAAAGTAGCATGTACCAAAGCGATGGCAGCAGCCATCAGAAAGGGATCCATTAAAACAGCACCCACCAGACTTTGCACGTGATGAATTCAGCATTCCCTACCAGGGCTGCGTGGCAACCAAAAAGACTTCACCCCTTCCCATAGATGCCTCTGCTGGTTCAGAGCAGGCTGCTCGCTGCACGGATGTGACACAGCCACGCACGGTTACTGGGTGAGCGGATTCTGGGGCTGTTAGGAGCTAAGCAGGTGGGAGGGAGAGAAGCTGAACATCACAAAAGCCAGTCACACCTGGAGTAAAACCACAGCTTCGAGATAAGCCACAGCAATGAGCTTGCATGGCAGATCTGGTTACCCACTTGTTGCCGATCCAGAGATTAGAACAATTCAAAGGAACCTTCATCAAAATGGGACCTTTTTCACATGAAATTCATTGCTAACTGG